GATGATGACCAAGTATCATCTTGACAAAGTAAAAACATAGGACACATGCAAAAGATCAATTTAAAACTAAATTCTATTTGAAATGATCAATTTTATATCATGAAATAGTGTTAATTTTTTTTATAAATTACATTTAGAAATGTGTGCACATCACAGAGGCAGAAAATCGTTTCATCATGCTGACTGTCAGCTTTCTCTAATAAGTGACTGATGTCCATTTTCTTCACCAAGAATGATATTTCTTTGGTCCATTCCCACCTCCTGATGAACACGTCTTCTTTTACATCTGTAAGCTTGGAGAATTCAGTGTCCACTTTTGGTGCATAAAACAAAATAAAAGTAATATTAATATTACAAATATTTCTGGAAAGTATTTTTTAAATAGATACACTTTACAACTGTTAAACAACCATATACTTAAATTCCATGTTTCTCTACAATTTCACTGACAGCGTCACTTTAACAAGCAACTTCATTAAGAAGTTAGTGTCTCTCTTTATGTCCTCTAAGGATTTTAGGCCTTTTCCTCAAGCAGTGTTGTAGCGTCTGGACCAATCAAACACACAATTTTTCATTTGATTTAGCAAATCAGTTATTCATTAGATTAACAAAACGTTCACAGACCCCTCACCCAATAAACATACTGGGTGCCAAGTTGTCTGTGAACAGGGCCCAGGGCCCAGGACCCTGGTTACCATGGCAACCCTGACACCAGATATATTTTACGACCTAATGGCATGTTGAGAGTCACCCCTCTCACTACAATTTCCATAGGAAATCCACAGTGCACAGTGAAAAATGCGAAATACCATGCTTAGAGACAAAGGGTCATAAAACCCTCCAGCAATTGCCACCTCCCACTTGGAATTTCCGTCTTTCTCACTGGACAAGCCCCTCTTGAGAGATGTGAATCTTCGCAGATTTTAAAGGCCTATGCTACAAGCTCTTTGTAGAATTGTACAGTAAGAAAGTTATTCCCCTTAACCAGAAAATTAACGTTCTTAGAATTGACAGACAGTTGACCCTGAGAGGTCAGCTAAATATCAACAGCGGATCTAAATATTTATAATTAATTATAACTAGTTATGATTAATTATTCATATTTCCCCATGAGCTGATTCGCTACAAGTGTCAGCAGGCAAGTTGTGTTGCCAGTCATGGGTTGCATCTATTGAATGACACTAAGAAATGACAAAAGCCTGTTTTAAGTTTAAATGTTTACATTTAACGTTACTTTTATGAATATAAAAAGTGAAAGACATTAAAAGTTTAACGGCAACGACTGAGCACTTACTTCTGATGGATCCTGGGTGACATTGGCAATATATTTGGAATTTGTCCAGCCCCAGTACTCTGCATGAGCTGATCAATACTACAACACATCCAAAAGTTTTCTCTGTGCAAACACTTTGTGTAAAATTAAGAATAACCATGATTTGGTCCTAGTCTTCCATTACCTAAATAAAAAATAATAATAATTATAATTATTATGAGCACCATTTACGCTATTATTGGCTTTATTGCGTTGCCAATATTTTAAATAGTTAGCTACTAGTCAAAATAGCATGTTGTTGCTAAGTTTTTAAGTGGTGCTAAAAGTCCCATAGCAATTGTGAGGTGATTGTTAGAGATTCAACTGCAGGGTGACCATATTTTAGTTTTCCAAAAAAGAGGACAGTGGGGGGCGGGGCAGGAGGCGGGGGTATAACATATACGTAGGCAAGGCAAGTTTATTTGTATAGCACATTTCATACACAATGGTAATTCAAAGTGCTTTACATTAAATAAAATAAAAACAATAATCACAACAATAAAACAAGGAATTTAAAAACTTTGAAAATTATTAAAAAATAAATTTATTTAAGAAGTTTAAAATGAACAAAAATATGTTGTTTGAGCACTGTGCTGATCTGCTGAAGTAAAAATCTTAGAAAAATCAAAGAAAAGTACAGAAATAGGGAGCAAAGAGCAGAGCAGTAAGCAAAAACGTCCGAACGGTAGCGAAGCCGGACGTAGCAAGGTTTTTTTTGTTTGTTTGTTTTGTTTTTAGAATAAATAAAAAGAGAACAAGTAGATATAATAGAAAAATAATAGGGAATGCTAGTGTTAGAGGCTCATTTTTAAATAAAAATAAAACAAGTCAATAGAACAGAAAAAGAATAGACAGTGCTTGTGTTAGAAGGTAATTATTTATAATAAATAAAAATAAAATAAGTAGAAAAATGGCGAAAGAATAGAGAATGCTAGTGTTATATGCTCTTTTCTTTTTAAATAAAACAAGTATGTAGAATAGAAATAGAATAGAGAGTGTTAGAGTTAGAGGGTCAAATAAAGATGAAAGAGATGTATTTCCAGCCGTTTCTTGAAAATATTAAGGACTCAGCTGCTTGGATTGAGTTGGGCAGGTCATTCCACCAGGAGGGAACAGTTAATGTAGAAGTCCATGAAAGTTTTATCATAGGTTGAATGCAAAATGTTTCAATATAGTCATTTCCGTCAAATGTATTTTATGCAATATTCCAAAACTTTAACCCACTTGGGAAAATCAACCCATGGCAACAGTTTAAAAGTAGCCCAATTCTGTGGGAAAAAACGCAAACGCAGCCCTGCATCCAAAAAGAGCTGCAGTAGTCAGATTTGACTGATCACAGCCAGGTCAAGAATAAGGAGAGATGACTGACAAGACCATGGAGTATTTGCTGCTTAACAGATCCTGAGCTCACTGACAAATATCTTATCTTGTAAGATGTGCTCCCTTTACACAGAGTGTGTGTGATCGCGAAATCGAAAGTGACCAGCGCGAACACTCATTCAAAAGAGATTTAAATACTTGCATACTGAGAGCGGCTCCCTGATGCGCCAAAATTATACACAATATTAGAATGTTTAAAGCAGTAGACACGAAAATCGCGGGAGCGAAACACATGTTACGGGAGCAGACGGCAATGGTCAGAAATTCAGCGGGATAAAGAAAATCTGAATCCCGGACATTTTGGGTGATTAAGAAATCCCGGCCGGACACATTTATTTAGGTCCAAAAAGAGGATATATCCGGGAAAAAGAGGATGTATGGTCACCCTATTCAACTGGCCCATACACACAATTTTTAAGCTTTTCGTGAGATATTAATCATTAGCAATCCTGACAACATAGACTTGCAAAAACCAAACATGCTAGCTCGCCGCCGACCTACAGAAGACATTTAGTTAACAAGCTAACTTGGCGGCGAAACAATGGAGACAACATGGCACTTTCCTCCAGCGCCTTAAAAAGCTTTTCAACATTTTTTCAATATGCTAACTAGTTTAGTTCACTGAAGTAGCCATTTTTTTTAAAGATACATAAGTAGACTTATTTTGAAAAAAAAAAACTAAAAAACATTCCTTTTATTATATTAAATAATGCTAAATGTTTTTACACAGTCATAGTGTAAACAGTTAAGCAGTTTATTTACACACAATGTGTCTGTAGTAACACAAAATGTGTTCTCAGTCCTTTTACACATATTTTGTGTACTTTTTAACACATCAATTTTAAGAGTACTATCTCCCAGCTGATAAATGTCAAAAATTATTGTGTATTGTGAAAAGCGATGAAACATGACCTATTCAATAAGTAAATAAGTATGTTTGGGATTAAAGAGCAGAACTGTGTTCAATTACACGCAATCCTGTGTTTTCAGCGTCTCAGAGCTGCTTTCACAGCAAATTCCATGTTAGCATGCCATGTACTGTGAATTTAATGTGCATTTGGGAATGCAATGTGTGGCAGTTGCACTTTTATTTTTCGCATTTGCATAATTTCCAACATTTAGTGGACATCATTTACAATATCTCACTATTTGTAAACCAAAGAATATCAAAGCCCAAATAAAAGCTAAAGAATTTAACAAATTCAGACAGATGTATAATTTACTAAAGTTAGTTATGGGTTACTTATTGTGAAATAGCATTCTACTACAACAACAACAACAATAGGCTGAAATTGTTTGGCTCCCTAAAAATATGAGTGTGAAGGGCTTTTTTCGATACGATGATGATACTGTTTCTGTAGTCCAGCAGTGGACCGCGCTTAATTTGAATACAAGAACAGTGTTTAAAATGGAATGGAAACTATAGGCTACAACCACAACAAGATTTAATCTGGCCGCAAAAGAACACAACCGGGGTTGCCATGATATAAAGAGATGTAATCCCCAAAACGGAAATATCATTTGGCTGGCTGTGTTTAATAAACATCTGTTTTACTAAATTCTGCTGAGGTAAAATTTTGTCTAGTCCCGTGATAGGCCTGCGTATTGTATCATAGCCTTTGTATCGGGATACATATGCGTGACAAGCTACTTTAGTGCCTTTAGACACGCTACACAAACTCTTGTCACGCAAGGTATGACTGTCTTAATTACAGTGTATTTTGTTCATTTGCTTTCCCACACTCAATGATTCAGAAGATTGTGATTTCGTAATTTATGGATTTAGAGAAACCGCAAGGACAGCCTTTAATTGCTTTTTGTAAACACTCCTTGGTTAACATTTGTAAGCATACGTTGACGCATTATATTGTGTTTATAAATATGTGTGTGTGTGTGTGTGTGTGTGTGTGTGTGTGTGTGTGTGTGTGTGTGTGTGTGTGTGTGTGTGTGTGTGTGTGTGTGTGTGTGTGTGTGTGTGTGTGTGTGTGTGTGTGTGTGTGTGTGTGTGTGTGTGTATGTATAGGCTACCTACTTAACTATATTATGAGACAACTTTTTGTCCAGAAGTGAGCTAAACCTAAACCTGACAAAATCTCCCAAAACCTAATTTGGGAATGTCCTGATTTGTAAAAACATATAAAAATAAAGTAAATAAAGTTTATTGATTCTTTTTAATTGATTCATTTAGGGTTGGGTGTGGGATAGACCCCTAAGTAAACATGTGGGTGTGGGTGTTGAAAGCAAAATGTACACAGGACTCCATACAAGATATAAAAACTCATAGTTCAAAAAGCCAAACAGACCGAGGACGACAGCAGAGAAGGAAACATCTGAGAACAAACAATTACAGGACCATGAAACTTTACATCCTTTTCAGTTTTCTGCTTTTGGCTGGTAAGAAATTACAATGTAATTGCCAAATGGACATTTGCTTAATACTGGACCATGTTATTTAAACTTGATTTTTATTTATTTTTTTATTTAGTCCAATTTAATACATCTAATATTTAAATGTTTATCTTCTAAAATTTAGATTTAGTCTGAAATTAGTCTTTAGATGTCATTTTACTGTGAGCATTACAGTATATGATTTCATAAAGTTCACAGAAGTTTTGTGGTGTGTTATTGTAAAACACTGCAAAAACAGTAAACATGCAAATTACAATTCAGTGTAACCACTGTTGTAACAAACAAAAAGTAACACAAATTAAAGTCTCAATGTGTCTCTTTTTCAGTGCTTTGCATGCAAAGTAAATATTGCAAAAACAGTTAAACAAAAAACAGCAATTATGCAAATTAAAGTCTCAATGTGTGTCTCTTTTTCAGTGATTTGCAGCTGTCGTGTTGATGGTAGTCAAGGTATGAAATGTAAATGAAGAAAAAGACAAGAGAAATATAAAGACAGACAGAGCATAAAGTAACACAGGAAATTCGTTTCATTTCACAGTGAAATTTGGTCCCCTCTGCAGTGGGAACTCAAGTAACCGCAAAAGAGGATGTGATACGAAGTATGGCTGTGGAAACTATGGGGCCAGCCGGTAAATTGTGTTTTGTTTGTGTTTCCTCTGACTCCACTTATATAGAACTCTATTTCTCAAACAAATGTAGTTTTTAGCTAAAAAACGTAAAAATATTTACGTATCTTTTAGATATTCATATCAATGCATTTTTATCATTTTATCAATAAGCGATTTAGATTTTTAGACCCCTTAACCTACCCCCAAACCTTAACCTACCCATTTTATAGCGATATATAAAGGATATAAAACGCAAATGACCGAAATACGCAGCATTAAAATATATTTATAGTCGCTAATTCCACTCCTACCTATAAGCCTAAACATTTCTGTACAGTATAAAAAAAACATGACAGACAGATAAATGCAATTAACGTTACAATCATTTATTTATTGCAAAAATGTCAAAAGCAGCACTAAAAGTAATCCAAATGACAATGCGTTGCACCCGCAGTCCTTTCTGGCGGAATACAGTAGGTTTGTGTGATCCAGAGCAGAATTTGTTGTTAATCGCTGAAAATATTACCCAGATTATTTTCCCGATCCACTCCGTGAACTCATGAAGGAACGCGTGCATCATTCAAACTCACCTCACCAGAAACACGGCATGTCGCAATGAGAGTTCGATTATCTTGTCGTTTGAAGCGGCAACATTTGAATTTGTAAAGAGCGCGGGCTTTGCCGCGGGCTTTGCTGCTTACGGTCACTGGACTCCTGCTCGGGATGGAGAAGCAAGCAGATCGCCAAATAAAAGGCTTGGATTTGGGTCTGTTCCTCGCAGT